CCCCCCCCGCCTTTAGGGCCTGGTGGTTGCCCTCGTTTTTTTTTTTAAATTCGCCGCCAGTGCGGATCCGGTTCGCGGCCGAGACGAGCGCGAGCGCGCACACACGCAAGGTAAGGGCCCCTTCACACGGCCCCCCAACCCCCCAACTTTACATGGGAGCTTGGTGCTACACACGCAACTAAAAACCGCTTTCCTAAAAAATTTGCTTTTTGGCTGTCAGATATTGTTTTTTTTTACTTTTTTGCGGACTTATTTTTTTTCTCTCTACTCTGCATATTTGCCCTGCATATATTGCTGCAGGAAAGCAACTAGTATAGTAGGTCGGCGGGCAGAGGATAGAGCGGTTAGCTGGGGAGATGGATTTATTTTTTTAACATTTAAACTACTGCTGTACAGGTAATACATGCATGACGCAGGAGAAGGGGAAAGATGACACCGATCATATGGCTTGTCTTTTCTCTTGCGGCTAGGGCATGGGGGTAAGAGCATGCATGGGTTTTTTTTTAGGGAAGGAGGGGAGGTTGGTTCGAGAGACCCTTGAGCTTGTTCATGCGCTTGGATGGCGGTGGGTATGACGGTGCAAGGTGTAAGAGACAGGGAGAGAAGGGGGCGTGGTGTGGCAGTGTATGGGCGCGCATAAGGGTGTGGTTGGTGGAAGGAGAGGCGTTGCTTCGGCGCGAATGGGAACGATAATTTCGTCATGGGCGGGCGATGGAGACAGGGTGAGTCGTGCGCACGTGGGTGTGTGCGGGTGAGCGTGAAGCGCGTCTAGTGTTGGAGTGTGTTGGGGGGGGGGGGGGAAGATGATTTGATTTTTCGTACGAAGATACCGTATTCAAGGACAGGAGAGAGCAAGGAGATTGGCATGGCGATTACACGTGTACGTGGTGGCTGTTGGCTGTTGGCTGTCTATTACTCTACAGAATCAGCGAATACGACAACGTGGTTTAAGGTTTGGTCTAAGAGGCGGGAACAAACGAGGTGTGGTGCCTCGTAACGAGTCGTAGAATTTTGTCAAGGGGGATCCCGGAAGGGGGACATGGCTCGGGGTGGTGGGGATACGGGTGGGGGAAAACACGTCCTTTGTTGGTGCCATGATGGTTGGCTCTCCCGGTGATACGCAATCACAGCTTGGGAGTGAGCAATGCAAGTAATAGTCTCGACTGGGAAACTCGGCAATGACGAAAGGATCATACCACGGAACGAGCGCGAGGTTACGTATGTGAGCCCAGGAGGGCCCTGGAGGGAGCGCGGTGAAGGCGGAGGCACAGGCATGGCATGGGTGCGTGTGCGTGTGTGTGTACATGTGTATAGTAGGTAGTATGCGCATGCGTTGTTGTCGACGAGGATGATGGTGTGTGCGCGAGTGTCTGGTTACACACAGCAAGCGTGTGGTGTGCTGGGGGACTAGAAGCCGATGGATACATATGTACATATGTACTGCTTCTGACCGGTTGGTGGCTGCTGGAGCGTCTTCTGGGTGCGACGCATGTGCATGTGCATGGCATGGCCAGGTATGATGAGCTGTGAGCTGGGCGGGCTGGCATGTCGAGGGAGCAACTACTCACATGTGCATATGCAAGCGAGCGAGGGAGCGAGGGAGCGCAAGCAAGTGCAGGTGCATGTGCAGGCACAGGCAACAGCAAGGCCTGCAGGACTGATTATGCACGATGGCGTAACCTTGCAGTGCGGATTAGGCGAGCGATGGTTGGCTGTCAGCGCTTCTCGAAGACTGCCCACCCCGGCCTAGTGCGGCTTAACGGCGTCTAGCGTGCACTACTGCAGGCTGTCATGCATGGCGCTAGTGGGCGGGTGAGACGATGAGACGACCAGACGACGGGCCAGGGGGGCATCTCGGCTTGCCCATTCCAGCTGGATGATTGCGGCAGCGAGCGGCTCCGCTACTTGACCATGAATTGGGTATACTTTTACAGCCCCTGTTCCTGGCCAGCGCCCGGGCCCCATCTGTGCCCTGAGATGCTGATATCCCCCTCTCGGCCACATGTTGATTCGCAACAGCAAAAGGGTCTTCTTCGGCACAAACTAGCTCGCTTGCGTGAAACGGTCGCGCATCTGTCGCGCTGCCACAGCTGACCGTCTCCATCCTTCTAGCTGAACTCTATGCCATGCGACAGAGGGCCGGCCCTCTAGAGGTTCCCTGGCCCAGCCCACAGGGTCGACCTCCAATCCGCTAGGCCTGTGTTTGCGCAAACCACTAGACCGCGTGCGGCAAATGCAACGAGATGGCTTGACGCACAGCAGCCTGCAGATGCCTCGTGGCTGGCCTCGAGCTACTACTTACATGACAGCTTCGAGCGCCTTCTAGGGGTGCCTCCTAGTACTCACACCCAAAGCTCGTATATAACACCAAGCTTTGGCGCCGATCGGCAGCCGATTTAGCCGCCACGACTCAGTTGCCATGTCTCAGCCCCGTGTTGCCTGTCGTACAAGTCCATCGGTGTACTGTGTAGTGTACATGTCCATGTACCGACTACGTAAGTAGCACATGCCTTTTACACCACGCACATACACACATGTACTATACTAAAATGAATGCGTATGTGCATACATGTTGTACATACACAGACATACATGATGCTGCTGCCATACTATACCACTACCATCATCACAAATGTCGACGTGGAATGATGTGGCAGGACCACCCAAGCCGTATTCCCCGACTTGGAGCATGATCATGAGGCCAGCCTGCTCCCGTCTGATATCGTCTTACGCACGTTATGCCTTCACCGCCGTTCCATCTGCACATGTCTTTCTTCAAATGCATGTCTGGACATGTCGTGGGGCAGGGTTGTCGGGCTTCTGGCGATGCTTGCCGCACCCCCACCACCAAGCACAGGTGCGTGGAAATTAGCCCCGCGCGCCAGCCGCACCCACCATCCACCTGGCTGAACTCTAAAATAATATTTCTCTTGCCCGTTTACGCGTCGCCTGCTTTCCATTCGTCCCTCTGAAGACGCCGCTGTCACCGACGCCAGACACCACCAAACTGCGGTTACAGACATGCGTGTCGTGTTCTCTGGCCCATCACGAGGTTCGTCAGAGATCGGTGCTGCCTGTCGGCATCGGGCCTAATTGTGTCCAAATTGCTCACAGCCGCCCGGTTCCCGGTGACATGGATAGATCGATCCGGCTGCTGGGGGGTAAGAGGAGACAGCGCCCGGCCCGGTATGCGCGCCAAACCGCAGTCGTAGTACTCTCCTTCTCTCTCGATTTCTCCCTCTCTAATATCTGCTGACGACATGGAGCACCATTTGGCGATATTGCATCTCGTCCATCATGGGCTTAGGGACTGCCATTCAAATCGGACATGTGATGTCAGCATGTTGCACAACATAACCACATAAATCACCTGTCCACTCTGCATTCAGAACGGCCACGCGTTCACTCCGCCTACATACGCTTGCTTTGCCGGCCTGTTGGCGACCCAAACACCGCATTCTCCTCGTTACGAGAGAATTCCATGTGCATTACTCGCTCATCACACCTAAGGCGCGAGCCAACTCTGCCAAGAGCCGCTCAATTCCTTAGACTCCTCAGCCGTTCGTCGCCTCGTGCAGCCTTAATACAATGATCTACACACGGTTGACACTGCTCAAGACATCAGGCCTGCACTCTCGGCCAATGTTGGCTGTCTAGTAATGCCACTTGACTCCACCTCGACCATGCGTCCTGGGGAACCCTATCCATATCGGAAGCTAAAGGCGATCGTGAATTACATTGGATCCCTTTTATGGAGAATACCGCTATCTCGGTACATAATCGCTGACCACTGGACGGTCCAGTTGCACTCATACTCCCCCAGATCACGTCTTACTCATGCCGATTATCACCGACCTGATCGATAGCCCACCCCTGGGTTGCAGTGGGGGGGGGGGAATGAAACAAGCAATAGTGCGGACATGAGGCGCAATCATACCAAGTAGCTCATCCATTAACTATGCATCCCGCTGTACAGGGCCACATCTCACTCCACAATCGTCCGGTGAGCATCCACACAATTTACACGTCTGAACCAAACATCCGACATGTCCAAATATTCCACCTTTTCATTGGAAATCAAGACTTTTCTCTTTGCCTGTATACATGTGTACTACTACAAGCGTACATTGGATTAAGCTTTGACAGTGTTCTAGGCCGACTCTGTCGCTTCTCCACGGCTACCGGCAAGCTGGTATCCCCACCCATTCCTCTGTAGAAAAAACAAAGGAGCGTCAGAGGAGGCGAGTATGATGCGCTAAGCGAATGTGTAGCCCCTTCTGCGGGAACGATCCTTCCGCTGCTAGAAAACTCCCGACTCGTTAGGAGAGATTGTAGTAATGCTCCTTTGCGTCTTTGCATTGATCGGTGAACACACAACGATCGGCCTTTTCTTCTCTCGCGCATTGCACGGTCGACATAGAGCACGCAACTGTCTTCTTCCCCTGCACATTGATCGGTCAGTTTTTTCCATTTAGGAAACTCATTGGTCTATTGTCATCGTATTATCGACATGCACTTATTCGTATAGATGCTCCCACGTGCGACAATCCCAAGAAAACTTTGGTGTTTCTACTAGTGCGAACGAGCATTACTTTTTTCGCCCGAAGACCCAAGTCGCTAGTCGCAATCACGTGCATACGGGAAACAAGCCCCAGCACCCGGTTTATCCAGTCCCCTGTACATTCCTCTGCCTGACTTATTCCCAGATACGTCCCTGTCCTCTCGCTATTCCCACGGCGATACTCTTAGCAGGTACATACAGCAAAAGATGACAATTAAACGAGATATGATACGACAGACAAGATATACTACAGGGGCCATGCCTGCATGTCTCATATCAATCTATGTATGTAGCATTGTCGCAAGCCAAACTGCCACAACGGCTAGCATACTAGGTACTCGCAGCCCACATCCCGCAACCCGTCCCCTCGCTTAGACACATTTACTGACCCCTACCATGACCACAAACAGGTATGTTCTGCGACATCCAATGCACTTCCCTGTCACCTTTGTCTCCACGGTGAAACGCAAGAGAGAGCAAAAAAAAGACCAAAATCGATAGCTAGAATTAAGCATCGTTATCATCTACGATATCGCGATTATTATCGCCGCCAGGATTTTGTCCGCCCTTTTCACCGAGATTCCACACCAACAGGTTGAAAAGAAGATAGAGATAGGATAAACACGATACACTAAAACCCTAATCATCGCAACCCAAATAGGAAATAAAAATGCCCAAAGTTAATGCAAAACTCCATACGTGCGTCGTAAGACAACTAGGGGAGATCATTCGCCGACAACTTTGGTTCCGCTCGTATTATGTGTGTCGGTGATTATCAACTTACACACGTTTATAGGAAAGTACTACACTACAAACCCAGCCTTTCATCAATCCGCAACTCGGCTATCATAACGCCATTGCAAGGAAAAAGAGCAGGAGCAAGAAAGCGAGCAAGGTCAGAAAGGACCAATAGAATGTAACCCCATCATCACTATCATCATCATCATCATCACCATCCCCCGTGTTTCTGGGCGATATGAACAAAAAGGCAAGGGCCCAAGCTCACCAAGTATGCCGAGCACACGCACCCACGCACACCCACGGGGCCCCTCCCACCCCTCCCCCCCAAAAGATGAGCAAAGCTAGGGATTCAAGGAAATCAAGGCAAGGAAAAAGAGAGCCACTGCAGCGGCAGCGCATCCGACAGGGCGGGATTTGCCGTTCGTCTCCAGGCCCGGCGCAGCAGAACAAGGCAAGAGAGAAAAAAGCGAAAGAGAGAGAGAAAAAGGGCCCCCCATCATCATCCCAACCAACCAACCAACCAATCAACCCCCCCGTCCGCCGGTTGAACAAGGCATGGGGGAGGGGGGGGAGACACAGGACTGTTCGTGGCCAACGGGGGGGGGGGGCCACCACATAACCCATGTCAGCCAACGCGCCATGGTCTGTGGTTGCCGGGACCCACCTTCATGGGACTGGGACTGGGAATTTTGTCGTAACAAAAGAAAAATCAGCTGACTCAACCACACAGACGCACCCGCTAGCCACGCGCTCCCCAATTGACCCGCTGCCCGGTTTTTTATTACCTTGAAACAGCAGGAGATACGTACGTACGGGCATGCAGGAGGGCAAGGGAAGGACTGTTCTCTCTCTCTCTCCCTCTCCCCCCGTCAGACGCAAAAAAGTGGGGATGAGGGCGTGAGAATGCGAAGAACAGGGGCCCCACACCTGTTCTGCCCCAAGGAAACGAGGGCCAAGACGGGATGGACATTGATTGTACGTGTTTGTTGCTGAGAGAGGGATGGAGAGTGTGTAAGTGTGATTTCCCTTCTTTGCACAGTTTTTCTTTGGTGACGTAACAACTGTTCCATGTTGAAGTGCGGGCGAGTCTTTTTCTTTCTTTCTCGGTGTTGGTGTTTGTGTCATGTTCGCCA